TTCCATATTATCCCAGGAAAAAAAACAAAACCCATCTTTCAGTCATGGATTTGCCATCAAATTATGGGGTTTATTAGAATTTTTAGAAGTAGGCTTTCTAACTCTGAGATATTACATAAACAAAGATGTGGTAAGTTTAGCAAGAAGATATTTCAGGATTATTTGCTGTGGTTACTACAAATAAGTTCCCTCATCGGGGATGCTTATGCAGTGACACAGGGCTTCCTTTTCACAGGAAGCTGTGGGAATACCCCTAATAGAGCTTTAAGTCTGTTGCTTCTACAGTGTGCACATTCTCACTCCTCCTGAAACCGGGATGGCTTGGGAAATACCTTCATTTTAGATGCCAGTTAATAGACTGACTCCATGTTCTTTCATCTCCTAGAATGCCCAAATTAGTCATTATTACCTTCCTCTCACAATACAGCCTCTGAATCACACAATCAATGGGTGTATGACCTTCCGTCCCCCCTCAAGGTGCAATGTGAATCCTCTGGCCAATGTCCTGCCCTTCTCCCCACACTGGCTCTTCCATTCTTGGGTTTCTAACTTCTCCTGGTTCAGGGTGCAAATCTTTCTTGGAAAAGCCAGCAAAAGTCTATGTTAGTTTATACTTCTTCCCACGTTATGATCTCTGACTATTCATCTCAGAGACTCAGGCTGTCCTGCGAATGACGATGACCTAAATGGCACCCACTAAATGTTTGCAGGAGATCTCCAAATACCTTTTCATATTTCACTTGTTGGAAACAAATGTGGGCTGTACATAAAAGGTAGGCTGAAATTGTAGTTCATGTATAAACTTCAGAAATCTCTCTTCAAGGTTCAGAAAAGGGTACCAGAAAAAGGACAGCTGTCAAGCATGTCTCCAGCTTGTGGCTCTTGGTCTCTCTTTTGGCATCGACCCTCTCTTTCTTTCATACTCTTCTCTTAGTCTTTCTGAATCCCTTGTCACCTTACTCCTCTCTCAGAACTAAGTCCCTTTATTGTTAAGAACGTCAACCCATGTATTTGAGCAGGGTGAAACTTGTTTGCACTTTACTTACAAAATTTCAACTTACACAGTGGCCATTCTGTCATCTAATGGTTTTCATTAGCCACATTCGTCTACTTAAGTTAATTTAAACAAATCTGAACTTAGAATCTAATTTTCTCACAATTTAGATCCTAAACAGTCAATCATAATTATATTTATGGTACTCAACAGCACATATATGGACCACTTTTATATCTATGGAAAAATTTCTACCTGGCAGACATGATCTCAACATTTCAAATTTGACCCTTGGGATAATTTAAAACACTAATAAAAGAAAGATGCTAAATCTTAAGGGAGAAGAAAAGTGAATGATTAATAATAAAAATATATGACAAACCAATACAATGTATCAGGAAATAAGTAATCAAATGCCCTCAATTAAGGATGTCTTCTGGGGTTTGGGAATTTATCTCTGTTGTAGAGGACTACTCTACCCAGCACAATGCCCTGAATTTATTCCTAGACCCAGAAAACAGGCTCAGAAAAAAATCTTTAAATTTGTGTTTAATGATTCAATTTCTTACACATTTCATAAAATAGCTGCACTTTAATTTTTATCCTATAATAATCATCTGTGTATTTTTCTGGGTTATCTTTTTTCTTTTTTCTTCATTTTTTCCCTTTACTTCCCCTCTCCTGATCCGCCCATCTTTCCCCCATTACACTCCTATCCACTCCCCCAGAGAGGGTAAGGCTTCCTATGGGGAGTCAACAAAGTCTGATATATCACTCTGAGGCAGGGCCAAGGCCCTCCCCGCTATATCTAGGCTGAGCAAGGTATCCCCTGAATTATTCTCTAAAAGAACATTCACACTGTTTTTCTTGTTTGAAAATGAGCAAGTTTGAAAACCTCGTAGAAGTCCTTCCAGTGGTGGGAAGGGGGCATTTCTGCTTTAACCAGGCATCAGCATTACCTTGCTTAACTATCACTTCCAAAGCAGAGATCACTCCCTGCACCACTGAATGACTATTTACCTGTCTATGGTATCACATCCCGTTTTTTTCAATTACATGTTTACACACCTATGCTCTCTGTCAAACTAAGTAACAAACAAAGAAAGAAAGTCTCCAAAGAATTATGCATTGTAACAGTAATGAGAATATTGATACAGCTTAGATATGTGTTCTGAGAAATGGAGGCTGGCAAAACTTTATAAAGAAAAATGAAGGGAAGTAGATAAAATACTTTGAAATGACAGTCTTTGACCACAGGGGTTAAAATCAACTCTGCTCAAGGATAGTTACCAAGGGAGACACCAGTTCAAGGTCAAACAGGGAGCCTGTTTGGCTACAATGTCCTACAGAGGTATTGTCTGTGTGAGTTTGTGCTGGCCTCTGTTCAAAGCTGTGGTTCTGTCTTCTTTGGAAACGGTTCTTACCAGGCATAGCATGGACTTGTCTTCTAGGAAGTAGATTTAAGGTGTAATCTATGTGATTGTTGTTAGTGTGCACCTTTAATGAAAACATTCAAATTAATTTGTAATGTTGGTTGGGGCTAATACTGGACATAATCCAGCCGGCTAATGCATCCTTTACTATCTGACTTCCTCAGTTTCTTATGGCAAAAAAAACTAACATTTTCATAGTCTAAAATAAACTAATGAATGAGGTTGCCAAATGAAATAACATTCCATCTCAATTATTTAAAGTTTTTCCAATGCTGCAAATAGATCAGTGAATGATGAGAGCTGGGGTCTGATGAGCCAAAAGACAACAGAATGGGTTTTCAATATTTATAACACAGATAAAATTCACTTTCTAAAATGTCCCCAGAAAATATGGCAACTATTTTTCTTTCTCAGGAATTTGACTTTTATAAGACGAAAGGATATTCAATTTTTAAAAGAGGATCCCAAATATAGCACATATTTCCTGAAGATCACTGGTTCACATGCCTGTGTTCTTGAAGGTAGTTCTAATAGTCTTAATTAAAATGCCGACAGTAACATGTAATAACTTAGCAATAACTGTACACCCTGAAACTCATAGAAATGATTTCCTACTTCAGGTCCTTCTTAGTTTTTCAAGGAGTTATGAAAGGCAGCTAGACTTCCCCCCACAGGCTAACTTCTGAGCTTAATGATCAAAGTGTGTGTTTGTTGTGTTTAACTTTCTTTCTTAAATTTATTTTAATTGGTTCACAAAAATACAAAACTGAAGCTATTAATGGAAAACAATGTTCATATTAAGGAGTAAATAAATCTGTCCCCTCCTGAATTTATCCATTATTTATGGTGAAAACTTCCAAAATCCCTTCCTCTGGGCTAAGGAAGCGCTTCTCCTGTGATATCGAAAGCATGGCACATTTTATACCAGACATTGAAGGAATTAACACATTCTCTGAGCTGCTGGAGGGATTTGGTGTGCTGAAGGGTCTCATTACTCCTCTTTATTTAGAGCAATGCCCTAGAGATTAAATATGAAGAGATTTGGAATTTTCAAGCACTTGCTTGGGCATTAGCACATTCACGGTAGAGTGCACTCCTGTGTGTGATCAGACTAATTATCCAGGAAGCCTGTGCTTAGATTACCGTCTTCACAACATTTGCCTCCTTCATTTCTCCTTTGAGACTTAACTTTCATCATTTCCTTTCTCGTTAGTCTTGTATTAGTGACAAGGGAAGAAAGGAAGGAAGGAAAGCGGGAATGGTTACATTTTAAGTGTGTATAAGCTTCCTTTTATAAAACAACAGAGGGTATGAAAATTCCTTGTTAACTTTAGACTCTCTTAAGTACAGACATTAATTCAAGCGGCCGAGAGTAACTTGGGTGTTTCTGACTAGTGTTTACATATCCCATCTGCCATTGCCTACTAACCATGGGTTCTTCACAGTCGCTGCTGCCTTCATTTAGATTTGCATGGTGGAAATTGTTGTTCCATTTTGTGGGTGGAAAGAGAGAGCCTCGAGTAAAGGCCAGGATTGGAAACCAAGTCATCTGATCACCCAGGCATCATTTCCCGAGGACTTCCCAAAATCCTCACCACTGCAGAAAATGTGGACAACTCAGAGGCCAGCTCCACTGTCCGGTTTCTGGTTCAGTAGGTCGGGGGTGGGCCTGGTGGATCAGCATTTCTAATCAGTGACAGGATGCCACTCTTGCCAGTGGTCTGGGGACCACATTTGGAGCAAACTGTTGCTTTCAATCATGGCTACCTTTCCATTTGGTTCTTTTCATGACCCAGGAGGCTGTGAACCAACTCAAAGCTGGCAAATTTTCCTGAATGTCTTTCTCCGGACAGCCTCATGGCATCCCCACCAGCTGTCACTCTCACAGTGCCTGCAAGGACACCTCGCACACACACACACCATACAACGTTGCCTAAGTCAACTTCTGGTGAGTGGTCCGGTGAACCATAGCCTAACCTTCCAGTGAAGTCTGACTGAGCTACACTTAGGGAAAGGAGGAAGCTTTCCCTCTTCTTAGACACTGAATTCATTAAGCACAATAAGAAAAAAAAATGAACAAGGAAAATGTCCCCATGCCCTCAACTTTCCGAGGGGCCATTTATGTTCCCAAAGGAATCTGAGCACCAGTTATGAAGCAGGATTTTTAGGGAACAGTCATCTCTACAAACACACAATATTGCCGTTAGCACTGGCCATTCTTCCTCAGCTTTTGAAAGGGCACCGGTTTGTTCTTGCTTCCTGGAAACAAGTGGCAATCCTAACATTACTGCCCATCCCCCACCTATTAATTTCCGCAGCCACTCCATCTTCTTTTTAGTTGAAAAATATGCCACATTCAGTGAACACTACCCTGCTTTTTTTTTCCCCTTTTCAAACTACCCTGGAAGCAACCAAGTTGTGGCAACCTCCTCTTCCTGCCCCAAACCTTTAACCGGAAGTCAAGATAATTTATACGGCAACATTCTGCATATATTAGACGCGCTGGCAAAAGTGCAGGTGCTGAAAGAGAGGCGTTACGGACAGGTTGTGAACATTGAACACCGTGGTCTTACCTATGCACACTAGATCCATAAAACCATACATTCCATAGCAGATTTGAAAAAGGATGTCCTTCCTCTGCCACACTGCATAGGGGCTGAAGGCTGACCAGAGGAGCCAAGTCACACTCGCTATTAAGAACAGGGATCCTAGGATTACAGCAATCATCTGAACTTTCTCAACCAGTGTTATAGAAATGCTCTGCCACTAGAAGAGAAACAGAGGCATGTAAGAGAGAGGCGCCGTGCAGACTCAGACAAAATTTACAAAATCACATTCTTTGTGTTGCTCGACATAACGCCAGACCCCTTCCAATTTGATCGTCCCCCAAATGAGTTTCTCCATCATACCCAGGATAGAAAAAATAGACTGCAGAAATGATTAATGAATTGTCTTTGACTCCATTCTTGTCATTAATTTGCCATTCTCAAAGTGTAATGTGGTTTTAGTCCAGATAATAATACTGAGTGTGAATGGGTCAAGAACACTTGGTATCTGGAAATCACATACCCACATGAAAATAAATACCTTCTGACAATACACAATGAGGATTCCTCTGTCTCATGCTCTTTGCTCCTTCGCAGATTTGGTTTTAAAGAAAGGAAAAAAAAATTCTTTCTTGTTCTTGTAGAAGAATGTAAAAATAGCAAAGTATATGTGATCATCAGTGAAAATCGTAATTGAAAGTAACAGAAAGTAATCATACAGGAGTCACAAATCTGCTCTTATCTGTTAATGGGGTAGCTCACGTTCTCAGACATAATTGCTCTTACTAGCAGTGGGTAAGCCATGGAGCATTCTTATCAAGATTTAGAATTTGTATACCAATGGCAGATCTTAGAAACACTGGGAAGCAAAGCAGCACACAGTATTCAATGAAGAGTGACTTAGTAGAGCCTAAGTATCAGTATTTCAGAGGAATTACAGGGCCTGGCAATATCCTGCAGTGGTCCTATTAGATTGAGAAGATCAGTTAATCACGTTCTCACTTGTATATGCTTGAGAAACACACAAGACAAGAAAATGGTTGACCCAGAAGCAATAAAACGCGTAAGAATCTCCTCAGTCTGTGGAGGAAAGGCCTGGCTCTTGTCACTTTGGGCTCATTAAAGAACCTTTCCCAAAGGAGCTCAACCTTTATTTAATGTCCATTAAATAAATCTGAGTTTTCTTAAAACTCATACTTACCTCTGTCTGCATATACCTGTCTCTAAACAGCAAATCGGCCTCACTTGTAATTTCCCTCTGTATTCTCTCTTCTCTCCTCCCCTTTTTCACAGATATCTCATCAGCAGACAACCAAATAATCCACTTGTAATATTTTAAATTGGAACTTAACCTCCAGTATTTACATATATATTACTGAATTCTCTGGTATTATGGGTTAAATATCAACATACATTTAAGATAGTACTCTATAGTCATTTACGTAACAGAGGACAGAATGAACCGACAGTGAACAACTGTTCACCCTGATAAATGAATTCTTCATTTGAGTGTGGGCTTTCCTTTTATAGCTAACACATATGAAAATAATAATAAACTATTGTGTGTTATTTCCTCTTTATAAGTTAACGGGGTTGCATTTCAAGTGCATTTTTGCTTTTTCCCTTAGCTTCCTGATGTGATTAGAAACACATTGATCCCCCCTGCTAGGGATTTAATGGCAAAGCATCTCCAGCTTGTTGTCACCTGGAAAGCGGCAGGGTAACTGGTTCTTGTTTACCGTGGGTTTATGTTAGAATTTGCCTTAAGTACAGCAGCACAGGAAGCAGCACAGAAAGCCGCCATGCATCCTAAATGGAGGTGGCCACATCTACATGTAGGATCTTCCCCTGAACCCATCCCTCTGGGTAAACAGAAACAAAACATAAAACAAAGCATACATTTGGGGGTTTGCTTGTCAGACAAGTCCTTTATCAGAGCACTGAAGTCACAGTTCTCTTGCTGCACAGACTCCTGACCACACAATTGGCTCTAAAGTAACTCATGCTTTTAAGTTCACAGAGCAACGGTGGTGGTGGTGATGGTGGTCGTGGTGGTGGTGGTGGTGGTGTGTGTGTGTGTGTGTGTGTGTGCATGCGTCTGGTGGTGGTGATGTGTCTGTGTGTGTGTGTATGTATGTGTGTCTGTGTTTCTGTGTGTGTACTTAATTTTCATCTGGAGGTTCATATACCAAGGAGAAAGGACTTACAGGACTCCTGGATAATCAAAAATGCATGAATAGGATTCAGCGAGTATGTTATTTTACACTGGTCTATATTGTTCTTTTTCAAATAATCTGTGTAACAGGAGAGTGGAATTTTTAAGTTGAAGAGTTGAGCGTCAGGTAAGTCATTATACTCAGTTTTGGTTAGACCTTGTCTGCAGGTCAAACTTCTAACCTAGGAGATATGCCCCTCACTGGCAGAGAAGCCAAATGAGAAAGGGACACTTCCAGGAGCAAGAAATACGGATGCGTCACGCTTGTCTGGTTGAGGCCAAATTTAAGGTGGCTTACTGTGTGGATGCCTGTAGGTTGAAGGAACATGTGTAGGCTCATGAGAGCAACCACAGGGAAGAAAATTGATCACACTGCACTGGGAGGGTCAATTATGTGCTGTTATAACAGAAGTTTCCTGGGATTTTTCAAATTTAAAGAAGGATAAACCATATATAGTCTATAAGGAATCCTCTGTAATTTTCTGGTATCACTCTGTGAATAACTCAACTTTCTCCATTAACAACACAAACTTTCCAGTACGTTTATGTTCTTCATGTGCTGATGAGCGCTAAATATCACATCCCTTTACTGGATAGCTAGTGAGGACAAACACTGTCAAAGGCAGAGTTCTGGAATGTGGTCATGCGTATAGGGGCTTCTTTCGATATAGGAACATCAACTTGGTAGTTCCTTTGCTCTCCCTTGAAACTCCCTCATATTTCTAGAGTTAACTACAAAAGGGGAGAGAGTTGCCTCATTTCTCCCATAGGAATAATAGATCTAGATTCTCTGGTAGGGAATTCAGCCAACATCGTTACTCTCAGAAGTAGGAGAGTATCCATAGTTTCCAGCTCAGAGACCACGAGACAATAAAAAAGTAGATGATGATGACCATCTTGGGGCCTGTCTTTCCACCTCATGGTATCTAAGGACTAAACTTCAGTTTGGGAAACATTTGAAACTTGAGCTAATTTTCAATGGTGAAAATAACTGTCTCCTCTGGAGATACCATAGTAGTGCATGCCTGAAATCCCAGAACTCAGAGAAGGAGGGAAACTGCCATAAAACTGAGCCAACCTGGTATGCTGAGTAACTTCTGGAATAACTAGGACTACATAATGAGACCTTGTCTCAAAAGGATGTTTTTCTCATATGCTCCCTTTGTCCCTCTCTCCTCTCCCTCTCTTCCTCCCATCCTCTCTCTCTCTCTCTCTCTCTCTCTCTCTCTCTCTCTCTCTCTCTCGTGATTTTTACTGACCTCATGCCATTGATGTGTAGAAAGATGATACACCAGTCCCTAAATTAAGTATGGTTTCCCATACTTAATGTTATTTTATTTTTAGTCCATGAGACTTGATTTACAGTAGTCTTTAAAACTATTTGTATCTATACAACAAACTACTATTTCTTTAAGAATTGGAACCAAGAAGGTCCTCTGTTGGATGTTTACCCTCACTTAATGTCCTGGAGACAACTTAGTAATAATAACTTCCATTCATCTAGGACAACATGTGGCTGTCATCTTGCATTAATTCACTGAATTACCATAGCAACTCTGTGAGAGCAGCATCATCGCTTTAAAGAGAAGTATATGTGGGCAGAAATGACAAGATACTTAATATTGATTACTAACTTGACAGGATTGATAATCACTTAGGAGAAGCCTCTGGACCTGACTGTGAAGGATTATATTGATTAGGTTAGTCTTTGGTCATGTCTGTGAGGGATTACATTGATTAGGTTAACTATGGTGGGCGAGTCACCAATTCCCTGCTCTTGGGTCTTTGACAGAATAGAAAGGAAAAACCTAGCTGAGTACATTAATTTGTCATTCTCTGATTCTTAACTGCAGAAGCCATGTGATCAGCTACCTCACGTGTCTGCACAGTGTGTGTCAGAATAAACCTTTTCACCCTTAAGTTGCTTTTGACAGGATATTTTATTACAGGAGCAGGGAAAATAATTAAGACATAAAATTGATGCCAGCAGTGGCATCGTTATTGTGATAAACCTCACTGAGCACGAGGTCTCTAGGCCTCTACAACTATTCTGTGAATGAAATGTGAACGAGCTTGGCAGTTTGGGCTTCAAACCCCTTTGCATGCTGCCACCCGAACATGGTTGGTTATTCCGGTGGGGGCTTGGAGGACAAGGATCCTAAAAGAAATGTGCATAGCAGAGGCCCCCGAGTTCATGAGCTTTGGGAGGAACTGAACTAGGAGGCTATGTGTGATATTTTGACCAAGAACTTGTCTTCATTCTGCCAGTGTCCTGAGAAGATGAGTGTAGTTGAATTTAAAGATGATGAACTAATCTGTTTGCTGGAGGACATTTCAAATCAGCAGAACATTTCAGGTTTGAGCATAGCTGATGAGTTTTTATGGCTCTTATCCGTTCTGTAGTAAAAAAGAATAAATATTGAACAGATAGATATTGAAAATGTTCAGATTACTGAGGAAGAGAATGGCTTAAAGAAGTTAAAGTTTGCAGTCTAGGTGCACGCTGAAAAGAGGGTTGCAGTTCTTAAAGAAAAACACCCCGATCTTCACAGGAACAGTAGGACATGCGTCTCAAGAGCATCCTTCCTCTCACCAAATGCAGCTCAAGAGGGTCCGTGGCCCATGAAAGGGATTGCCTGGGCCAGTGTTTCCCCGTGATCAGCACAGAGACCTTTACATATCTGGGACCCTGTAAGGCCTGGCTACATCTCAAGCTGATGGACCTGGCAGCAGCATCAAGGTGATACCATCTTCAAGGATGTGACATATGCAAGACTGGGGTAGCAAAACAAGGTCTAAAGTTTCCTTCTGTAGAAATGACTTCCAACCAGCAAAACATGTTTGTTGTCTAGGAAACCACTTAAGAGATGTGTCTCCGTCCTGTTATCTAAAAGAGTTAAGGCATTTTCTAAGTTAAGAGGCCAGGTTGCTCCTGGAGAATAACATGTGCTCAGAGAAAAGCAGCCTGGACTTGGAGAGCACAGTCCCGTTTGGTAAGCATTAAA